CAAAACTCTTACCTCTCAGTATCCAAACGAAGGCTAAAAGTGGTGTGACTAAGTGGTAGAGCACTAGCCTTGAGAAAAGTGTTTAAGGACAATGCCCAAGCCTTGAATCCAAACTGGACAAACCAACTGGGACAAGCTATCCTAGCAATGGATGCTGAGGACCCTCCTTTCCTCCCCCCCCCCCTCCACAGCCAAGACAAAGTCAGTCCTGACAACAGAAAATCATGGAGAGGAGTAAGGGGACATAATATCCTAAATGGATTTACTTTACACTCATCCTTTCAAAATTAATCGGAGCCAGGAGATAAGAAAAAGAGTTGCCTGTCCATCTAATGTCCATACCTATCTACCTTCTAACTGGACAAAAAGTTACAGTCTTGCCTCTGTCACCTGCTCTTTGTATGTATAGTAGTCTCTGACTGGTACTCCCAACAGTCCATTATGCCTCCCCTACCCAGTTGCCCAAAAGACTCTAGACACCCCCTTCCTGCCTGGAGTCCAGTTATTCTTCCTTCTTTGTGATGGGCCACAACTGAGCTTATGCTCCAAATGGAACTTTCCTGGCCCATGGCCAGTGTATGTTCTCCTATGTCATTCATGTTAACTGACCTTGTCACTTTGTCAGTTTTTTTGTCTAGCCTTTCCCAAAGGTTCTTTTAACAGGAGAACAATCCCCCACCCAGGACATCACGTGGGAACAAGTCAAAGCCATCCTGTTACTACAGGCAACCAGAGACATCACTTGCACTGCTCTGCCTTGCTCAGCCTAGACTGGGACCCTAAAGACCCCAGCTCCAGGGACTCCTTGATGCCCGCAGGCCATCAGGAAGTACCCAAAAGAGCCCATGACACCTGTTGGCTCTGGAACTTTTAAATATCTCTGCTACCTCCTCCTCAGGTTAGTGTGATCCTAAAGTAGAAAAGGTCTTACTCCCCCACCAGGATGACTGGGAGTCAGGTACATGCTATGTCTACAATCCAAGACAAAAAAGACAACTTCAGGTCTTTGATAGCTCCTTCTGGGAACCAATCCCTCCCTGGCTTACTCCTCTTTTGGGCCACTAACAGCAATTTTTACTTTAACAACAATTTTGCCTTTTATTATGTCTTGGATTTCAAATAACTATTGTCATGGAAAAAGGAGGACCTTTACCAAACGAACTGTCAAGCAGATGCTTCTTGAACGGTTCTGGCCCAACAACAAAGCAGACCCCCTACTTTACCCCTTTACAGCAGGAAGTAGCTATAGAAGAAACAACTTCCACCTATACCACCAGCCTGGTAGCCCTACTTTTATTAAACAATAAAGTGGGGAAATGTTAGCAATATGACTACCTTTGGGCCTCAGCTCCACCCACACCTGAGCTCCTCCCTGCCCTGGAGTTCCTGCCCTACACATGGCCACTCCCTCTCTCCACTCAGACCCACCTGAGCCCCCACTTAACTCACTTCCTGTCCCCAGACCCTCCTGCTACTTGGATAGGGACAGAGGCCATGTGCTTCCTCTGAGGGGAAATATGGCTCCTCCATTAATCCTTATAATCTTTCCCCTGTGCCTACTTGCCTCCGGTGGTCCCCTGGAATGGACTGAAGGATCCTTTCACAAGAG